GTTCTAATTATATATATATATATATATATATATATATATATATATATATATATATATAATATGTTCCACACTTACATAATTTCAGCAAAATTGATTCTATTGTCATTTATAACTAAGAAGAACCAATCAAAGAGAGAGAGAGAGGGAGAGCGAGGAAGAGAACAGAGTAGAGAGGTGAACTCTCATGCATTGTTCTCAGGCTATCAGGTCCACTATCAAATTGCTCTTTAGAATCCACATACCTATTGTTCCATCCTCTTCACCCTACCTTCCCAGCACTTTTATGTATTTTCTGGTAAAATCTGTATGGTATTATGCCGTACTCAGTTTTATTTGGTGGTATGCCTTCTTTGGACAATAAATGAGGAGTAGTCTGACATAACTCAGTACAAATATGCACAGGCTCCCGGCATTAGCAAGGCTGGCTGGTTATGGCTCCATCCCTGTCCTGTTCTTTATGGTTTGATATTGGGTTTATTATCCTCAGTGTTCTTCCCCATAATCATAATCTCTCAGAGCCTTTGAACAAACATGAAGTATCTGAGTGAGAACAGGTAAAGAATGTAATAGAGATTGAAGGGTTCAGAGATGCCCTCTTGGGGGAAAAATTAGATTCTGTTGTTCGTTTTCTTAGGTTAATTTGTAACCAACTAATGTCAAGACTCATCAAAGTTGCACCAGATGGGGTTAAAGATTAATTCCAAAACTGCCCCATGACCCCATTCTTGCCCAAGGTCACATTCTTCTGGATTCTGGTCTTTTCTTCTGGATGCAGCTGGGACCCTTGTTAATGATCATAGAATCTAAGAAGAAAACTCCTTCTTTGAAGGAGCCAGGCAATAAACCTCGCTGCTTCCACCATTTCACCATGTACTTTTGGCTAGAATAATGGCCCTTTTCTGCCAGTTAATGTATTTTTCTCCCATGGTGTTTGCTTTCATTGTCTGTGCTGGACTTCCATCCTTAGCTAGTTGGCACAGTCAAGATTGCTATTGTTAAGAACTCAGTTACACTGCGTGTTTCAGCTCTCATCTCAGAACACAGTTTCTCTACTGAGCCTCTTTCTTTACTGGGGACTTCTGGGAAACATCTGGTGTTGGAAAGTTTCTCTAAACTTTCTTTTCAACTTCTGATTTTGATTACTTTCTTTTCTCTTTTCATTTCCTAGTTATTTTTTTTTTTTCATATTTTCTAGGCCATCCACCCCCAGGGATCAATTATTTCTACTTTTTTGTTTTGTTTCCTTTCACAATTTTTGGAATTTATTACCTGGATTTTTTTTAAAAAAATCAATATTTACTTTAATGCACACAAAACAGTTCTCGTCTGTAGGTACAAGGAGATAACCAAAGCAATTTCAAATTGATCACACCCCAGATGAGAGGCAGAACCTGGATCATTATTGTAATTTTATGACTTCCAATCATGACCTTGGGTAAGTCAATTACATAGAGGCTTTCACTGCTTATTTGTAAGATCTAGCTTGACCAAATGTTGTATAATTTTAAAGACGTATAATACAAAATTAATTTAGTGAATCCAACTATATTTTCTTCAGTTAAAATTCTTGCTGTAATAAAGAAAAACCGTTTTTTTCCTTTCTTTTTCATTTTTCTTTTTTTAACTACAGCTCACCTTTATCCTTTAACATAGGTGTTTACACATGAGTAAAATATGCCTTCCTCTGGATCTATGTGTACAGGCTAACCATTGCCTCAATAATGCTTTATAGCAATCACAGAATGTCCATAATATAGTATATTTAACATATGCACCTATTGAGGTAGGTAGACTGGGGCTGGCTGATCTAGACTGATTTTGGCTTTTGAGTGGTCTGCCCTACTTTATGAGTCTCTCTCCTTTTGTGGGGGTACTAGTGTGTTCACCTGAAAATCTTCTCATGGCAATGGCAGAGAACTAGAGAGTAAGTCCACTCATAAAGCACCTTTTCAGACTTGGTTTAGTCATGCCCATGGTATTCCATTGCTCAAAATAAGTTTCACAGCCAAACCCAAAGTCAAGGTAGGCTCTTGGAGCAAGGGGGAAAATAAAATTGTTATTTATAAATAACAATGTGGTATAGCACTGTGTTTTGGAAATGAGTAATGGAAAGCTTACATATGGCTTCTCAGGGAAAACAAAGGTGGTAATAAAGACATTTGAGGGATTGGAGACTAGTGTGATTGCTTCTCCTGTGGCATATTACTAAGTCTATTTCTAAAGAGAGGAGCTGCAGGTTTATGGCAGGCTATATACATTTATTTGCACACGATTTAAGGAGAGCTTGATTTGGTCATTTTGGTCAAATGAAGGATGTCAAGTTTGCAGTACTACCTAAACAGCATCAGAAGCCCCTCTGTTTTGCAGGTTTATGGAAGTTCCTCTGAACTGTGGACTGAGCATCCCTCCATGGAAAAGCAATTTATTACTTTATATGAATGGCAGATGAATTTATAAGTGCTGATCAGAACTTATTTATGAGACCAAATGAGACCAAATATGGTACTTTCAAGAAGATCTAGGCCAGGAGTAGGGGCACATTTCTGTAGTGACTCAGGAGGCTGAGGCAGAAGGATCACACAAGTTTCTGGTTAAGGAACTTAGTGAGACTCTATCTCAAAATTAAAAAAAAAAATCAAAAGAAAGGACTGGAGATGTAACTCCATGGTACAATGCCCCTGGATTCAATCCCCAGTGCAAAAAAAAAAAAAAAAAAAAAATCTAATATAAAATCACTGTGAAGCCAGGTGCGTTGGCATTTTCCATCAGTGAAAATAAACAATGGAATTTCAGTCTGAAGACTAATCCCAACAGCTTGGGAGGCTGAGACAGGAGGATCATGAGTTCAAATCCAGCCTCAGCAAAAGAGAGGCATTAAGCAACTTAGTGAGATCCTGTCTCTAAACAAAATACAAAATAGGGCTGTGGATGTAGCTCAATGGTTGAGTGCGCCTGAGTTCAACCCCTGGAACCCCCTCAAAACAAGCAAACAAACAAAAAACCACTCTGAGACACTTGTCATATGACTGAAAAAATTACAGGGACCTATGCTGTAACATAAAACTCTCTCTCTTTAGTGAAACAATTCATATATCCCCAACTCTGCCACTTTTTATCCTGATACTTCTACTTATATTCATTCTACTTGTTCCCTAATGGAACAATAAAGTAAAATTACATGAACATTTACTCAAATTATTGATGACTAAGTTGTACTAAATAAAAATAACTATACACATGAAGCAATGGCTATACTTATGAAGCAAATGTTTGTTACTTGAGAACAAATGGGGAATTGAGGATAGTTAATGCAAGCAAACATCAGTTTATTTTTCCATTAATTGAGATATATTAGTTATCCATTGCTAAGTAACAAATTACATCCAGACTTGGTCATGTTGAACAATAAGAATTTATTCTTTAATAGTTTCTATGAGTCAGAAATTTAAGGTGGAAAAATAAAACTTGGATGAATGGGTCTTCCTTTCATGAGTTCACAGACAAGAGATCATGTGAAATTGCAGTTTATCTGAAAATGTGAGAGGAGGATCAGCTTCCAAGGTGGCTCATTTCCATGGCTGGCATGTCCACGCTTGTTGTTGGTAAGAGGTCCTAGTTCCTCCACAAATGGACCTCAATAGGGCTGCTTGCATGACATTATAGCATGGAAAGGGCTTCCTCCAGATCCAGTGATCCAAAGCGAGATCGAGGTGGGAACTACTATACACTTTACGACCTAACCTTGGAAGTCACGCTCTGGCCTTTCCTGCAGTACTTTATTTGTTATACCAGAGCCAGGCTGGGCAATCGCTGTACAAGTGATTGTACAAGTGCATGACCTTCAGTGTGAATATCTCTTTCAATTGTGTACCCTTGATGCCCCACTTGCTTTATATGAATCCTGGTCCTGTTTTACACAAGTCAGTTGTATTCAGTGATCAGGGGACTGTACAGGGTATGGATAGCAAAGAGCAATAATCTCTGGAGGTCATCTTGGAGGTTGGCCAAGTATCTAAGATTCTAATCAATGAGCAGGGATGTCCCTGGGCTCAGCAGTCCTCAATTTTGGCTGAACATGTTTATCATCTAAGAGTGCGTGATGCCTGTACCCTGCTCTTCAGAGACACTAATTAATTGATTAGGAGTGGGATAGCCATGGTAGTAAAAAAAAATACAAATTCTAAAAAAAAAAAAAAATAGCCAAATCATAAGTTATTTTCCTGTGCAGTCAGGGATAAGAATACTGCAAATGAACAAGAAAGGTTCCTTTTGGGTTGAAAGTCCACCTAGAATTTGCCTATCACTGTAACTGTCAACAACATCTGTTCTTTCCTCCTGGGGCAAGAAGTGGGGGAGGTTTTAGAGGGACAAGAGGGATCAGTAATTTATTCACTTGCAAACTATTGCTGAACACAGAGCACATCTGACTAATTAGATTTCTTTTCCACCACCTCTACCTTCTGCTTGAATTATTTTGTAAAAGATTGGTAGAAGTGGGCTTAATTGATAAGTGCTGGTCTGACTTGAGGCTGTTATCTATTTCAAGACAGATCAAAATACGAAGGTTGGATGAACAGGAAAGTCCCCAGATGAAAAAGAGAATAATGGGAATTAGATGAGTTAGATTAGGGCTTGTTGCCTGTTTACTTGTGCAACAGTTTGGTGGCAGTTTGATACAAACACACACACACACACACACACACACACACAAAGGCAAACTGACAATGGAAACCACTTTTTTTTTTTTTTAGGCTTTCTCTCAATTTATTTATGAATATCTTTTCTTTTTCCTTTTTCGGTATGGGGATTGAACCCAGGAACACTTTACCACTGAACTACATCCCTAGCTGTTTTCACCTTGTTTTTTTAATTTTTTAATTTATATATGACAGCGGAATGCATTACAATTATTATTACACATATAGAGCACAATTTTTCAAATCTCTGGTTGTATGTAAAGTATATTCACACCAACTTGTGTCTTCATATATGTACTTTGGATAATAATGACCATCACCATCATTTATAATCCCATGCCCCTTCCCTCTCTCTCCAACCTCTCTGCCCTATCCTGATCCATGTGGCAGGAGCCTGGGCAAAACATGATGAGAAGAAGGGTGAGACAGATTCTTGAGCAGGCTATTTTGTTTTCCTTCAGTGAAAATAAACAATGGAATTTCAGTCTGAAGAATAACTGCACCTCTTCATCCTTTGGAGTGCAGGAACTTTCATATTTTCTTCTTGAAATTTTCTTAGGGAATGCAACAAAAGTCAGAGATCATCATGCTTTTGGCAGAGAGTTTGGGATGTTGGAAGATTTCCAGAAGAAGAGAATCTGCTATGGGTATATGCTTGAAATCACTGTTGGCCTCTCAGAGTTAAAATTAAAAATGAAAATACTGTACTTACTTTTTAATGACAGTAGCCTGATGCATATCTCTTACATAAGCAAGAAAATCCCTACAACTTGCACTGGGTGTGAATGTGGCCTTATCCTTTCACTCTTGTCTAAATTTCAGGCATACGCCCAGGGCAAGTTGCTGGGAAAACAGAATATTTGCTTCTAACATCCATTTCAGCTGCAGCAGAGTTTTGGCTGGAGGGTGATTATATTAATGGAGAAGAGTATCTACCTTTTCAATAGGATCCCAGCAGAGTTCTGCTGTATGGCAAAGTCTCAAAGGATTAGAGTGTCTCCATCTCATGACAAGGCAGGTCACTTCCAATGGGCTCTTGAATGCATGTGTACTTGATGGGAGGTGGTGGTGGCTTGAAAGGCGGGGGTCTTTCCATGCTAGGAACAAAACATTGTTCTTTCAATGCTAAGAATGTGAGGTTTTTTTTTTCTTTTAATCAGAAGACCAATTGATTAAAAAAGAGATATCATCTTAGTTTTCTCAGAATTTTTGTTGGTTTAACCCTATGCTTGTGAATTCTATCAGGCACTTGAAAACCATGTTCATATCATTAATTAATATTTATATGGCATTTTATAGTTTGCAAGGCATGTTTTTTATCTTAACATCATTTATTTTGTATTAGGAATTAAGCTTTTTTTTTTTCATTACTTTACTGATAAAACTGAGGCTTAACAGTTTTTAGAAATTTGCTCAACTGAGGTCTTAGAACTAGAACCCATTTTCCTCACAAAACTACCTCTTAATAGGGGAACATTTTCTCTTACATGGGTTAAACATTCCTCCAGAAACAAAATTTTAAAATTCAGGGACTTGAGACTGAAGTTGTCAAATAGCCCTTTTGCTGACCCCACCCCCATCCTGTATACACACTGGTATGAACTGTGCAGATCCTTTAGAGGTGGGAAGTAAAACTCTTCTGAATCTTTGAGTTGTTGTACTGGCTGGATAATGCTCAAGTCCCTTTTGCTTGAATCAGTGAACATTCTTAACATTGTCTTTGTACAAATCACTATTTTGTCCTTCAATTCATCTCTGTCTGAAATGCATCAAGCATCCAGGTTAATGTGGGACTTAGCTATACAAATGCCCAAATGACAGGATGACAGGAAAAGGAAATACATGTGTGAGCATTTTATGTTCATGACTCAAACAACTTCCCAACCCTGGAAATCTATAGTATCTAAATTTGGGGGAAGACACACACACACACACACACACACACACAGAAAGAGAATGACATGCTTATCATTTAGATTTTCAAATTCCCATTTGATCATTTTAATATAAAGATCTTCTAATCCTTTTGGATGCTTTAACAGAGACTTAAAATATATTAAAAAGTGGATGCAATTCTAAGAAACTTGTACTTTTGCTTTTGTTCAGAGGAATGATGGATTCCTGAAGGTCATGGAGTGGCCAAGATGTAGTCAGTCCTTAGATAAGAACCCAGAAATTCTAACCACTAGTATCATGTTTTATTTGCTGTGAAACACTCCCTACATTGGTTATAGACTTCAAGGTTGCTCTGAGAAAAGCAGAAAAGTGTATTGCACAACCGTGAATGTTCTATCCGATACACATACAAGCATGTGGAAGACCAGCCGTATGTCAGGGGCTCTCCTGTGACGTGGACTAATCCAGACTTATCCAAAATAGCAAAGTCAGAAAAGTAGGCTTAAACTTTCATGCCACTTCTGAGTGTGGTGTGGAGAAGAATTTTGGAAAATGTTTCAATAAGATGAAGAGGGGGAAACCCAAACATCTTTCTTTTCTCCTTAGGGAAAAAGAAAAATAGCAGTAAAAGCCCACTCTGATGAAAAGCAGCTGGAAATCTCTTAAAATTACCTTTCTCACTCAATTTCACACTTGAGCATCTGGGCCCAGCTGGGCCCAGGCGATTCAAAGATGCATGAAAATGAAAAAATAATGAAGATTAATAGAAAAATCAGTTTTAGTTTTGAGGTGAGGTGAGGCTCAGTTTTCATTTCATGCCCACTAACTTGCTTCATCTGATGAGTGTGACAGTCTGACCAGGCCAGCTCAGAGAAGGGTACCCAGTCAGGAGTGTGTGCTTAGTCCCTACTGTGCAGTGCTGGCAAAGCTACCTGGCCTCTCTGAGCTTCTGTGAGCCCATTAGCTCATTATGATATGAGCGGAATGCCACATAGTACAAACATCTTGTATGTGTAAATATTTTGTAATAAAAAATTTCCGATTCCTATATATTTTAGCATTATACTCACATTTCTTTTTGGTATTGACACCATTTTCTCACTCCAAGACCAAACAGTGCCATGCAGAAAAAGAGCAGAGCTGCTATAATCACGGGCCAGGACATTCCACCAGTGGGCTTATTAACTACAATGCCTGAAAAAAAGTGTCAAGAGAGATCAACTGTAATGCCAAACTTCAGCATTCAAGGAAAAAAGGATTACACTAGTTCTTCTATCTGGAAAACGTTTTCCTCTAAGGGCCACGGGGGTATTCACTGACTGTGATTATGCTCTGGCGGCATGCCTGTGCCATGTCACACAAAGATGATGAGTGAATAGTTAACTATGAATCCTGCCAGCAATTTTCTATGACTACCTAAGCATATAGATGTATCATGAACACATATCCTTCTTATTACAGATGGGGGCATACTTACACACTATTCTCTCCCTGATCTATTTCTTAAAAAAAATTCTTGGAATCCTTTTTAGAGCAGTGCAGAGAGATTTACCTGATTCTATTATATGATAGGTTAATTCCTCAATAGCTGTATTCAATTTAATTTTATTATTTACTCACTATTTATACATTTAATCAATTTATTATTCACAAATATAGCACAATTTAATAAAATTAATAAATATAATATGAATTTACTCATAAATGTATGCATTATTAATTTATTAATTATTTTATTTAAGTCTCTTAATGTTAGATGGTCAAATTATTTCCATGCTTTTATATTTCTAAAAACAATAACATACAAGAAATGAAATTTCTTATACGTTATAGATAGATCTTTAGATACTTGAATTACATAGATCATTTGGCCAAAAAGTTATCTGAATTAGTTTTTCTTACTGTTTAAACTAGATGGTAAACTTCTTGCAGGTGGAGACAGATTTAAAATTTCTTTTATTTCCTAGCTTTTATAACTGCTTTTCATTTAGAAAAGTCTCAAAAAAAAATAGTACAAAGACCTGGATTTAAGAAGTCAGTTACCAAGTCTTTCCTCTGTTTATACAGTTTGAATTGCAGTCATAGGACGCTATCATGTTAGCACATGTTATCAGTGTTGAAGGTTTTTTCCCCTCCATATAACATACATGCAGGGATTCAAGGTCGTCCTGATGCTTACTCTATCTACCGAAGCCCTGTCAAAGGAGGCACTGAGAAACTCGTGTAATCCTATAATGCTTAATGGTGTGGCACATTTCACAGGTGGCTAGAGACATCAGGGTGCAAACTGCTCCAGGAGCATGACTTGTCACAAATCAGTTTACTTATGTGTCTATTTACTATGTATCATCTTTAATAGATTATAAGCTTTAGGAGGACAATGTCATCACTGTATACCCAACACCTGGCATAATGCCTGGCAAGTTACTCAATACATATTTGCTTAGTGAACAAAATATAAAATTAAAAAATATAAATGGCAAATAACTCACTGGTGATATGGATGTGACTATTGTTAGTAGATCCATTGGCTGATGTGGGGGCTTCTGAAAATTCTCCAGTTGTGCTGGTGCTGGTGAAGACATCATCTAGGGATATAAAGAGAATATCTGAATTGATCCTCAGAGTCACCTCAACTTGATCAAATGGTATAAAATCATGATTGGGTTCATGTATTATTGGGAAATATCTCAATTTGGGTGGCCTGAATGTCCCTAAAATATTACATGTAAAGTTTTTAAAGAACCAATTTATAGCCAGGCTGGGATCCTAGGGTTTATCTAACAGATATCAAATGAATAAAATTCCTACTGGTTTAAAAAAATAAAAAAATTCACACTTCAAATAACAAAACACTATCTGCTAAAGATTCTCAAAAAAAATTTAAGAGGTATGGCAACAGAGCATTAAGTGGCATCAAGGAAAGATGAAGTCCTATCCCAATTTTCCCAGTGTTACAGATTCAGCTGATCAAAATACTGATTCTTCCCACCCCAATGTGTTTAATAAGGTCAATAAAGATTCCTTTGCAACATTATATTAGACAAATCTATGTTATCTAATCATTCCATTGTCCAAGAAATATTAAAAAATGAAAAGCATTTTTTATGAATGTAAGTGGCCAAAAATGGTATTGCATAGATTTCATTTGGAAACAAAACAGATAAAAATCTAAGACTAGGTCTCTTTTGTCTTCTTTGAGTGGGAAAAATTTTGGTTCTATTCATTGTCATTGTCATTACCAACATGCACTTTTAAATACCTGAAATTGGCTTCTTACCAGTTTTTATTTCTCCTCCTGTGCTCAGATAAATCCAACTACCTTCCATGCTCCTAAATTTTTCCCATGTACTCACCATGAAGAGTTGAGCCTGCCCCTGAGGGGGATGAACTGTATGTTTCACTGGGTATCCATGAAACCGCTAAAGGAAGAAGATTTTGGAAGAGTCAATCTATATGAGTAATCAATCCATTCTCTTTTCTTAACCATTAATTGAAAAAAAATTATGAAAAAGTATACTGAAACTACTTAAAGCAATATCATTGGACAGTTCTGCAGCATGTTAGATTCAGCCAAAATAAAGTGAGTTGAGGGATTGATTGTGGTTCAGATGTCTGTAACTGGGAAGGTTTTGATCATGGCCACTGCTATGCTTTGAAGTCTCCAAAATTCAGATGTTGCCAATGTGACAGCATTAAGAGGAGGGGACTTTAAGAGGTGATTAAGCCAGGAGGGTTCCTCCCTTCACACATGGGATTAAGGCCCTTATAAAAGAAGTTTCACGCAGCATTCAGCCTTGCCATTCCACCTTCTGCCACATGAGGACACAACAAGAACATCCTCACCAGATGCTGATGCCTTGATCTTGTACTTCCTGGTCTCCAGAACTATGAGAAAATACATTGCTCTTCTTTACAAATTAGCCTGTGGTACTCTGTTATAGCCACACAAATAGACCAAAGTAGTTACTTAAAACAGGAAGAATGCAAGCAATACTAGCAGAAGTTTCTCCAGCTACAGAGGATATATTCTCACATTCTCATGCTTACCCCATAGATGAGACAAAAGAATAGGAGATAATAAAAGCCCAGGAATGTTATGGTGGCCTTTACTAAAAAAAAAAAAAATAAGATGCCAATATGACTTCTCAGGCCTTGGTAGAACATGCATGAGGGAAGGAAGTAGCTTGGACTTATGGGCTGGCTAACATGTTTGCTCAACTCTGCAAACTGAATTGTGTCAGCAGTGAATGATCAGACCCCTGTGACCTTGATTCTTAGCTGTGGGTTAGTACCTTTGAGGCCCTCAGAAGAAAACCTTTCCCTGGAGTGGACAGTAGCAAACTCAGCACACAGGGCTTTTGAAATGGATCTATCAACTCATTTTGTTTATTACTCTATCCTGGGAAAGAAAGATCTACTTCTTGGTACACACCTGGATTTGATAACAGGCCTCCAATATAATGTAAAATAAAATAACTACAGTAGTATACAGTTGCAATCAGTAGTAACATACTCATTTATTTAAAACACTAACATATATTCTGTTCCCAGTTAAGTGTGTTCTTCTATGTCAAGACCAAAATAAATAAACAAAATAAAAATAAAACATTTGAAAAACCTTACCCTACTCCACTTCTTGGTTTCTCTCTTTATGTCAAACAATAGCTGCAGCTAATGACCAAAGTATGTCAATGTTTTCAGGGATTGCTCACAGGACATCTGTCATACACGATTAAATTGAGTCTGAGTAGACCAAGGACATGCTCCTTTCTTCAATATAATTCTCTGAACTTGCTCCAAGTGCCCTTGACTATTTTGTGGTTCTAGCTAGAGCTCCAAGATCTATAGATGATAGTGAAATGAGAATTTTATAATGTTCATTTTAAATAATGAAGCAATTAGCCAGGAAATTGACAAAGAACAAGAGCTAATTCAAATACAATTGTGCCCAGGCCTGGGTTTAGGCAAAATAATGAAGAAGGCAGTTCATTCTGGATACCCTTACAGATAACCTTTGACTCAACTTGGTGTCTCTTTAACTAACCTTCAAAGCTTGAGGTCTTTATTTAGTACCTCTTCAAAGTATGTTTGAAAGAAAGGATGTGATTAATTTATGCTAACGTTAAAAAGAGCAAAATAAGTGCTATCCCTTTGAGGGACATAGCCATTTAAAACAAAAAAGATCTTCCCCTTCATGTTTATTATCTTTGGATCAATATAGAACATTTTGAAACAATTACTAACATGTAGATACCACATAGGTTTTTCAACAAATACAGAGTCCATTTTTTTTTCTGATCAGTCTTTCCCAGTCAACCTTTATTTTCCCTGAACAAAATAATCTAATGTAGTGCAATTTCAGGAGATGCTGATATCATCAGCATGAAGCAACCCAATTATAAAAATAGCCATACTTAAAACTGTGCAAAGTATTTGACCATTTCATAAAACTTCTTTTTAGACTTCTGCAAACTTTCCCAGCATAAAAGACTCCTCAATATGATATACAATAACATTGAACTACAAAATCCCTTTGGAAAAGTAAAGAGCTATTTTTAAAATTTTGGTTTTAAGAGCTATTATTTTATATCTGATTAAAAAATATTTAGTGGAGACTGGGTATGGGGTGAGGGACGTGAAGAAAAAAGAGATTCCATTTGATGGATTCAACATGTCTGAAAGTATTTAAGTAATGTAAAAGAGAAACTTCAAGACTAAAAATATATTATAAATAACAGTCTTCCAGCAAGATGAAGTGAGTAGTTCTTGTATTGATTGTTCCCACAGGAGATAGGTCTTCCTAAAGAATGGTTGTTTATAGAATTCTCTATAAGAGTTGGCTACCTTCAATGATTCATCTCTCACTAAAACAATACTTTTCTGAAAATTCATTCACAACCATCATTTAGATACCTCTCACTATGTATTAAACATTGGTTACTCTATCTGCCATTCATACATCTTTTAGTTAGTCTTTTAGTTGATTGAAATATTCCATGTTCCCGAAGGCACCATCATATTTGTTAACTACATGAGTTAATTACCCTTTAAGTCTTTTGAGCATTCATTTTCCTCCAAGTCAATGACTGAATATCACTTTGACACTTTGTATAGTAAACACCAGCTTGATCAATAACCTTGTTTTGTATATCATCAATATGACCCCAAAATGTGAACACAGGATTACTATATTGTTAGAGCTTCTCAAGTAATTCATGTAGCCTTCCTAGAATGTAATGTTAGAATCTTCAATTTCTTTATATTCAGCACTCAGTAAAGTTTGTTCAACAAGGATGGTGCTTCTAATCTATGGTAAGAGTCATATAAACTTCAATAGTATAGTATTTTTCTTTTAATTGAATAACTCTTGAATTCCACTTATGACCAGTTCACAGTTGTTAATAACATTATGACTCATTAGTAATCCTTCCCCTTTGTAGGAGAATCTACTTGGAGTCCTATCAAAGCCCAATCCTGGCCGAAGCTTGGCAGTTCTTTAACAGATAATTTCTGCTACCCTCATAAGGTTCTTGATGTGAACTGAACATTTGTGGAATTCTGGCATCCTTTTCACATATGCAGTGGACTACTGATGAGACATTTCTTGGCTGTCCAATCTTCCTTAAGTCATTATTTATCTTAAGTCATTAACTTTGTTCCAGAACAATGGAAGAGGGAGCAAACAACATCCAGAGATGGAGGACCTGGGTACAGGGATTTGGTGGATGCTGGTCTTTTGTTCCACCTTCCTCTTCAAGGGGCATATGCACACAGACAACAGTACTCCTGCCACCAGTATACACATGCTGATGCTAGCCACTGTGACTACTCTTGTCATGACCACCCAGTCCACAGACAAGGCCCTCACACTCTTCCCAACCACAAACAGAAGATGACACTCACAGGCTTCAAAGTGTGGAGCTATGCCTCAGAAATGGAGAAATCTATGAACCCCCATGGGATTTTAGCAGAGGATAGAATTTTAAATCAGAAAAATAAATCTTTGAGACTGACATAAGAGGAATTAGATGAAAGAATTGGAGAATAGAGTCTTGGAAGTGAGCAAAATAGAATGTGAGTCAAGGCACATGAAATTTTGGAATTTGAGAACAAAAGTGATGATTGTAAAGAATTAATATCACAGGGAACATAAGAACTGTAAGAATTATCATGCAGCCTAAAAACAGAAGCCAGGCCCAGCTTTGCTATATGCTCCTCTTACTGGTCTGCTCCTGCCACTGATATCAGTCTTTCAACTTTGGCCTTTCAACATCTTTCTGCCTAAGAAAAATACAAGATGTGCTATGAAATCATGAGGCTTAACTACCAAGAGCTGAAAAAGAACCAGACGGACCAGAGACAGAATAAGAAATACATTTGTAAGATTTAAAATGAAGGGAATATAAATTTTGAGGCATAAGGAATTCATAGTGGAAGAACAGAATAAAATCCCATTTTGAGACCAGTAAGAGGAGATCTCAAGGGTCCAGGTGTGTGTGTGTGTGTGTGTTGATGGTGAGCTTGAGCTTGTTGATTTTGGTAATGAGATGAGTTGGAGTGTTGGAGGCTTAAGGGGCCATGGAGGCTCACATCATTTCTTTGTTTGTCTAACTTAGATATTCAGACTGATTTCAAAGTAACTTTGAGCCCCATTGGACCAGGTGAGTGGCAAGGGAAATCCAAAAGAAAAAAAGTAATTAGGATTAAAATTTCTATTCCATTGCTTGATCACCTGAATCTGTCTTAAGATGAGTATGTGTTCTAAGGTATCTTTAACCTTGTACATTTCAGGTATTAAGATGGTAAGATTGAGTATTCCCATTTTATTGGTGGTTAAAGTAAAACATGCATTTTTTTTTTCTGCTTGTAGGAAACTTGGAAGTTGAACTAGGATTAGATTCCAGTATTCTTGAATCCCAATGTAGCCCTCTTCAGGTTGATAAATAGAATGGCAGCAAAAAAATAGATTATAATATATTCTGATAAATGTAGATAAATGCAATGTGCTCAGAACAGTGTAGTGACATTCAAATATGTATGGACACCACAAAATCCATGCAGGATCCAAATATCTCAGAAAGCATGTTCACAAACAGCAAAGTGCCTAGAAGCACTAATAGTGGGTTTATTTCGCCATAAATCTATCCATTATCATTCTTTTTTGCCTCTAAACATTTCATAAATCTATTGAAATAAACATACCAGGAGGGGTAAAATCCCATTGCCAATGCCTGTCATGAATCTTGCCAAATGCATCATCCAATATTGGATGTCACATTACAGTCTAATCTAACGAGTAGAAACATGTTTCAAAATCAAGTTTGGGAGTGAGCAATCAATTTTAACTTGTTGGATCCTAATGTGTTTTTTGAATTATTATAAATAGAGCAAGTTACTATAGGGGATTATTTTTTCTCTAAGTTTATGGATAAAAAAATGGTTACTAGTTAAGAAGCTCATCTTCTTGTCGAAGTGACACTGCGAGTCCACACCTCTGGAGACAAATCCTTTGATGGACTTTAGAGTTCCTTCCTGAATTTCACCATTGCCAGGGTCATTTTAATGATAAGAATGATAAAGAGATGTCTGAGGATAAATGAAGTTTCCAAATGGGAAAGGACAGAAAATGTGAAGGAGCATGGTAATTCATTTCATTATGAAACCTATTAAAAAGACTAAGAATATACTGTAAAAAATTATAAAATAAGACTCTGAAGCAACATTTTTTTTTTCAGTTTCCTAGTTTCTGGGGCAGAAAGTACCTTGGATGACCTTATTCTTCATACTGATGTAGAGAATAGCAAAGTTATCTCATTATTTTTTTTCTAGCACACATATTACAATAACAATTGAAAGAAAACAAAATGTTCAAAACTTCCAATTAAACAGATCATTTATTTTCACTGTGAATATGCCTATGTTTTCTTTCTCTTTGCCCATCTATATTCATCCTTTCAATCATTCAACAAATGTCTACTGAGCACTGATGGAATGCCTGTCATTGTGACAAATATTAGGATATGCAATGAACAGGAGATAAAAAGATTCAAATCTCTATTCTTATGTACACTACATTCTAGCATAATTGCAATAAAAATCAAATGCATAAAATAAAGGAAAATATTAGACATTGATAAATAACATATTGATAGTTGAAATATGGGATAATTTATGTATGATCATAGCATAAATTTAACCTGGACTTCAGCTTTTTCTTATAACATTGTCTGATAATTTTTTTTCCCCTCTCTCCATAATTTCTACCATCTACTCAACACATTTTGATTCATTTATTTATTGATCATCTATAGTTAGTGTTCCAGGCTTTACTTTAGAAACCGAGTTTGTAGGTAAACAAAAAAATATGGGTATTTCTTATACTATAACCTCAAAAATAAAGAATGACAAACAACTAATGTCAGTAAAGTTAGGATTTTCAGTATAGTTCATTACACACAACTCAAGTTAATATTAGCACCATGTAGCACATATGCAAATCTGTCAAGTGTCCCTGATGTTTTCATTGTCAATTTATATCTGATTGGTAAAGACTTTTTAGTTCATACCTTTGTCTATATGACAAGATACATTGTCTAGCTAAGCACATTATGGCTATTGTTTTGTCTGGCTTTATAATATTTCATCAAGCTAAGATTTCATTCTATTGATATTTTCCTATTATTGGTCATATTTTCCCTTACCATTCCCTCACTGCTATTCACATACACAGATTTGGATCTATTATAAATAACACCATGAATGTCTTCTTCCTGTCCCATTCCTTATATCAAAACAAAATGCTGTCCTGAATGTTGTGCTTATCATTCATTTATACAGTTTAAAATTTTTATCATATATTATGCCTAAGCCATACGGTCCCTGGTTATACTTATATTTTACATTTTATTTTTTAAAAACCAAACCATATATTGTTACCTGTTTTTTACTTTTTTTGCCTCAACACACTATTATTAAGACTCACTCATGCTATAAAAAGAAAAAGAAATGGGGAGGGCCAGGGATCTCATGAGAATCAAAGAGAGCTCAGTAGGGGCCCAAGGGGTAAGAGGAGGGAAGTGGTGGGAAGTGCTGGGGAGTGATATTGGCCAAATTATATTGTTATATTGTGTGCATGTACGAATAGGTAACAATGAATCCCACATTCTGTACAACTATAACACATCAGTATAAAAATGTGGAAAGGGGAAAAAAAGAAAAAAGAAAGATTCACTCATGTTGTTATATATGGCTGTCATTCACTCATTTTTTATTGCTCTATAATATTTTATTATGTGAGTGTGTTATAACTGATTCATTTGTTCTAGTATGGTATTTAGATTATTTACAGCTTTTGCTATATTAACAGTGTTTTTTCCCAACATTTATGTTCATATTGCCCATTTGCATGTACTAATCAGGGAGTGAGGTGTATGTTTATAAATAGAATTATTGGATTGTAGGGCGTGCACATACTTAGTTTGAAAACATAATGCCAAAGTGGTGGAAAGTGATGGCACAGATTTTTATTCCCACCAGCAATACATGAAAAAATCATATTTATAAAACAGCAGTTGGCAATCCAGACTCCATTTTTTTGTCAATGGATTATGTGTAAAATGTTTTCGGTTGTTGTTGTTCCAGTTTTTATTTGTTTCTTAATTTCTAGAGAGGTTGAACATTTAGGTGAATGTTTCTAGTCACTTGTGTTTCATGTTTGGGATAAAACTTTTTGTTCATTTTATATTAACTTTTGTCTTTTTGTTGCTGATTTCTAAACATTGACATAAAGATTTGTGGCAAATATTTTCTCTCAGATTAGAGCTTGCTTTTTTTCTTTTTGTACTGGGGATTGAACCAAGGGAGTGCTTAACCACTGAGCCACATTCCCAGCCCTTTTTAATATTTTATTTAGAAAGGGTCTTGCTGAGTTGCTTAGGGCCTTGCTAAGTTGCTGAGGCTGGCTTTGAACTCATGATCCTCCTGCCTCAGCCTTCTGAGCTGCTTGGATTATAGGCATCCACTACCTCGTCCAGCTAGAGCTTAATTTTGCTTTTTAAAGTTTAAGATAACTTTTGATAAAGCTGGGCATAGTGGTGCACACTTATAATCTTAGCTACTTGGGAGACAGGGGCAGGAAGATTGCCAAATTAGAGGCCAGTTTGAGGCTAGCCTGGGCAACTAATAAGATTCTGTCTCAAAACAAAATTTTTAAAAAATGGTCTGTGTATGGAGCTCAGTGGCAAAGCACTTGCTACACCAGAAAGGCGCTGGTTTCAATCCTTAGTGCTAAAAAAAGATACATTTTGATAAACCTGGGTTTCCTAACGCTATTCTAACTTTTCAGGCTTTTATGTGGTTAGTCCTTTGTGTCTCTTCATTAAGCCCTTCTGTACAGAAGAAGTTGGTCTTTATTTTATTACATATTTTAATGTTTTTCTTTGGACATAAATATATTTAACTCCACGCAGTTAATTTTTGTGTAGTGTGCATTTTAATGCCTTTTAGCGTCCTTTGGCTGGACAATGCCTTCTTTTCCACAGTTAATTTGCTTTGCCATCTTTGACACAACATCTAAATTCTGTTTATTTGTGAATCTCTTTCTGTGTTCTCCCTTCTGAATGCTGCCTTCTCGTTTCTTGTAGTTGGGCACTTAGTTCATAGATATCTATTATCTTATTAACATATTTTAAAAAAGAAATATGTTAAATTATAAAGGGTCCTTCATTGACTAATGATAAAAGTGTTTCATGAATTAAAGATTGTGATTAACCCAAATCTATGAGCCCAGGGTCCATCCAAGAGATAAACAAACAAAGCTACAAAGAGCAGTATTATACATGTTCCTTTGCTCTTCTTATTTCCTAAGAGCAAATTCCCAACAGTGAAATGACTGAGCCAGTGAGTCTGAAAGACTTCTGAAGGTTTCAGATGTACAGCTTAAGTGCTCTCCAAGAGGATACACCCACCTACGTTCCATGTAAGTAAATTCTGCACCTGAGGCATCTGTTGTCTTATCTCCTCTGCTCCAGTCACCTTTCTTTCCACTTCCCCACTATAAGAACTTTGTCTTACACCACCAAGAAGCAGTCTATTTCCTTTGCAGGCAATACCCGCTAAAGTAGCTCCTGCAGACCTCCTGCTAGTTGGCTTGGTTAATGGTACCAAGGACTGGGCTCCCTCCTTTCATTTTAATTGGTGATGTGCATATTTTGAAGAGTTTGCTCTTTCTTCACGAACACACAGAGCTTGCTCTGTTGGCCTCACTGGTCATGTCTTTGCTCAGATGTCAACTTCCTCTGTAAGATCTCCCCTTTCATAAGGGACGCCTCCCCTCACCCAGTATCACTGCACAGCTTGGTCTTCTCCATATCATTTATTACTGTTTGCCTCTCCCCAACAGAACTTGGAGCTTAGCTCTGTTTTGTTCATTGGTATATTCCCAGAAGCTACAACAATGCTTTAAATATGGTAGATGCTTTGTAAATATTTACAAATATGATCATGAATAAAGCCTATAGTAGTTTTTAATATATGTGTCGGGTGAATGGAAGAGGTCTAGAGGATTCCCAGGGACTCATGGTTATACTCAACATTTTTTGGCGTCTATCCCGCTGGAGGTTGAGGAGGAGTTGAAGCCTTGGGTAGTCACACTGGAATTTCTGGCTGAAAGACAAAGTTATTTTCAGAAATCAACTTTTTAATAAAGCTGTAATCTAACTTTTCTTTGATGTGCTGAATTTTTAATCTATGGGACTTTGGGGAAATATAAAATTGAGAATGTGCCTCTCTATGCAGAAATACTAGCTGTTATTAAGTAGAAGCACTGTAGTTTATGTTTAATGCCAACTTGTTACTGATTTGCTTTCTTTTTCTGTTCCTGTCACCAACTGTGATCACTGGGGGTGTTGTGAAGATTACTTTAATATTGCCTTAAAATCCTCATGGAATAAAAGCACAACACAATAACAAATTGTTAACTCTTATTTTTTTAACATTTACAGGAATTGTCGTATCAATTGACAGTCACTGCTGAGTAACTCAAAATCAGCCAAAATATCAACATCAAATGAAAAAGCCTTTTGCCAGGTGCAGTGGTACACACCTGTAATCCCAGCAGTTTGGGAGGCTGAGGCAGGAAGATTGTGAGTACAAAGCCAGTTTCAGCAATGGCAAGGCGCTAAGCAACTCAGTGGGACTCTGTCTCTAAATAAAATACAAAATAGGACTGGGGATGTGGTTCAGTGGTTGATCATCCCTGGGTTCAATCCCTGGTACAAAATATAAAGTATACAAACTCAGCACTATAGAAGTTTTAATGAATCGTGTGTATTGTCTGGGAGGGGTAGAAGACAGCCTTGCTGTACTCACTTTGAGGGGTGGCACGTGGTGTCAATGTACTCCCATCCACGAGGATCACTGAAAATGTAGCTGGATATCCTATTTTGAAAACAAAATCCCCAAATTGTTACAGGTATTTGCATCCACATGTTTAACCATGCCAGTAGATTTAACAGGAGTATGTATGAAGTATTGAAATGGGAAAGAATCTTATTAGATACATAGTCTAATTGCCTCATTTTATAAATAATGAAACAGAATCCAAAAGAGTGGGTGCTTGTGGTTATATATACAATATTTAACATCATTTCTTTGCTATTGACCCAGTTATCCTAAGCACAAATGTATTATGTTCAGACTTCAAAAATATATTGCTTCAGCCTGGGGATCTGGCAATAAAAATGAAGCTAAGGGGCTGGGGGTGTGGATCAGAGGAGAGTGCTTGCCTAGCCTGCATGAGGCACTAGGTTCAATCCTCAGCACCACATAAAGTAAAATAAAGACATTGTGTCCACCTATAACTAAAAAATAAATATTAAAAAAATGAAGCTAAGGTTCCTGTCCTCATGAAACTTCCTGTATAGTGAACTTTCATAATAAATATGAAACCATATTTAGTATGGGAAAATATCCCATACTAAATATGGTTTCATATTTATTTCAATTTTTGATTTGAAAATTCACCTCCATCTTTAAAATCTATCATTTTCATTCTATTCCTTCTTATTTCCCCTGAGAAATGAGAATGGTTCATATTTACTTTAAAATATCTCTGGAAATGAAGAAGCAAGGTAGATTAAAGAGAAAGAAAAGTACCCCACCACACCACATGCTGTTGAACTCATGTTTATGTCTGCTTAGAAGACAAGTTTTTAAATATGTTTTATATGTATTTCTCTTTTGTTCCAAAACATTAAGGTGGTTTACATAAATATGCATTATAAATAGATAAAACAGTAAATAAAAAGGAAAGACAACAGAAACATCGCTAGAAAAATATGTTGATCCCTGTTGAAACCTGACTGTGGAAAGTACATAAAATGTGATTCCTTTCTTTGGATCGAGCAGGGGAGGATTACTGGGGATTGAATCCCAGGGCATTCCACCACTGAGCTACATTCCAGCCTTGTTCATTTTTTAAAAAAATTTGAGACAGGATCTTGCTAATTTGCTGAGGGTCTAAGTTTCAGAGATGGGCCTCAAACTTTCAATCCTCTCACTTCAGCCTCCCAAGTTGCTGGGTATAAAGGTGTGCACCACCACACCCAGCCAAATTGCAATTCTTTTTAAAAAATATTTAATTGATTTTATTTTTTAAATACATGACAGCAAAATGCATTACAATTCTTATTAAATATATAGAACAATTTTTCATATCTCTGTTTGTATATAAAGTATGTTCACACCAATTCATGTCTTCATACATGTACTTTGGATAATGATGTCTATCACATTCCACCATCATTGCTAATCCCCTGTCCCCTCCCTTTCCCTCACACCTCTCTGCCCTATCTAGAGTTCATCTATTCCTCCCATGCTCCCCTTCCCTACCCCATTATTGGTCAGTCACCTTATATCAGAGAAAACATTCGGCATTTGTTTTTTTTGGGGATTGGCTAACTTCCTTTAGCAATTCTTTTTTTAAAAAATATATTTATTTATTTTAATTAGGTATATATGACAGCAGAATGTTGATTCATACAATTTCAGCACAACTTTTCGTTTCTCTGATTGTACACAATGTAGCATCATACCATATATGCAGTCATACATGTACCTAGGGTAATAATGTCCACATTGCAATTCTTGATGTCTTTACTTTTGGTTGATGTACTCTCATATTTGGTCTGAATTTTCTAGTAGAAAATGCTAAGAAATAAAAGTGTGTGTTATATAATTGATGGACATCATAGAGTAAGTAAATTGTTCAGGAAAATAATTATTCTTTCTATTGTAATTAATAATTTCCCCTGTGTACTTATAAAAACGCTGCATAACATGTATAATATCTGTAATAATACCTTTACAGTGCCATTAGCATTCTAGCTTCTCAAGTTCCTCAATTTTGGGTAAGCATATGTTTTATAAGAACATAGGCAATGAAACCTCTGGAAACAATATGTGATAAATAAACTTACATTGCAGTCTTTGCATCTAAAAGTAATTCATTGCCAGAGATGATCACAATAATCACTTCTGCAATGCAGCCTGCCAGTGGACTTCAAAGAGAGATGTCCTGCACCATGGCTTCAGGAAGACAGTCAAACATGGGGAGATGTGTTAGGGATTGCCTCAGAAGATGCCACATGGGCAATTGAAATGGGCCAGTCAACATAAGGATGGGACAAAATAATTTAGGCAAGATATGCATAGTGATTTGCATAACTTCATTTATCCATCAAATACTTACTGAATGACAATTTTGTACCAGCAGCACTGGGGAAAAAGTGAAGAGCAAGAGAAACTTTACCTGACTTCATGGAGTTTATATTTTAGTGAGAATAAAGGTGAATGCAGTAGACCACTGTCTGAACATCAAGCCTATTCCTCCTCCTGTTGACACAAACTATTTCCTACCCTACCATGCAGTTACAGGTTGCCATGTGCCAAGTCCTAATCAATGGAATGGGATGGAGTGATGGCTGTCATTTCAAGACCTGGCCTATGAAATCTGCAAACGATCCTTCTTGATCTTTCCTTGTGTATTATGCAGATATTATAAAGGTGACTGAGAAGTTACAAGTTAAGGGTGACAGAGCCATCAGCAGCCTGGGTTTCTGAATGACTGTGGAACTGAGCATGACCAAGCTGCTGGCTTGACCCCTCATTGGCTATTGCCTCAAGGATAAATGAACTCATATTAAGAATAAATGAACAAAGTGAAATGGCACTGCAGTCTGTTTCCCTTTTCGTACTAATAGTAAAAACAATTGCAGTACAAGGTGATAAGTACTATGATAGAGAAATTCAGTGCATTGTGGGAATACAGAGAAGCGGAACAACCATAATGTGGAGCTTTCTGGTGATGTAACACCCAGGCATGATGGATGACAGGAATTAGATAAGCTGGGATGGGGAAGGGAGAAGGACAGAATGCAAGAAGCAAGAAACAGTGGGAACAAGAGAGGTAACAGAACACTGAGGTTGTAAAAAATGTTGGAGGTACTCTGTATGAAGTAAAAGGATAAGTGAGGATGAGAGGGAAGAAGCAGCTCTATTCCTCACTCCGATAGAAGAAATTATATTCAGCTGGTCCTCACCAGATGCTCTAACCAGAGGGTAAGTCAAAGGTGGCCTCATTGAAGGCCAGATGGATGAAGAAAGTGGGTAGGTTTAAGGGGCATTTAAAATGTAGACTCTCTAGTGTGGTGGCACATGCCTGTAATCCCAGTGGCTCTGGAGACTGAGGCAGGAAGATCACAAGTTCAAAGTTATTGTCAGCAACTTAGCGAGGCCTAAACAACCTAGCAATAATAAAAAAAAAAAAGGTCTCAGATGTGGTTCAGTGGTTAAGCACCCCTGAGTTCAATCCCTGATACCAAAAATATAAATAAATAAATAAAAATGTAGACTCAATGGGACTTTGTGAATGATTGGGTAAAGGAAATAAGGGTGAGATACGTCAAAATGAATCTCAGTTCCCTAGCTTGGATAGCATTTCAGATCATGGTATCACTAGCTGGGAAAATAAGCAGAGGTGATGAAGTAGTACCCCTTCCTCCACAGAGAATCTTCACTAAGCTTCTCCAGAAATCTTCACCATAATTGATTTTAAGACTATCAGCAAAACAGCCTCTACAAAAGAGTTCAATGTGGGTAAGCTCCCTATTTTCCTGTTGCTTTATTTTACTTGGACACTAGCCTAGAAGAAATCAGCACTCTAGATGCTAAATGCCCCTTTACTAGTTTTTCACAAACATTTATCCAGTACAGTAGCTTGTAGAAGTGTGTTTGCAAACGCAAAATGTGATTTAAAAAAAAAAAAAGACAAATCCTTTAACCAGGCATCTGGCCTTGAGCTGGGGATTCACAGAGATGTCTACATAAGTGTAAGATAAGAAAAGTTACCAACTGGGCTCCATGCTAACATCTGGCAAGGGGAGGAAAGAAAGGGAAGAAGAAGCTTTCCCCTTCTCAGGCGCTGTCCTTGAAGGGTTAACTTACCCAGAACAGTGAAAGAAAAAGCTGCTTTTGGGTGAACTTCTGTACACTGTGTACTTCTCAGCACCTCCCATTACATGCTGGGTATAAAGTTCTGAAACTACCTGAACTCGGGGTTCAGGGGAATTGATGGATTACAGCGAAAGCTTTGTCCTCTGAGCCTGGCAAAAGCCAAATAAAAATCTGCTTCCTGTTCCTACTTGGTATCTTGCCTCATCTGTCCCCTGCAACAGAGAGACAGTTTTGGAAGTGGCCAGAGGGCACAAAGATGAATTCAATTTTGGATTGGTTGGTTTTGAGTGCATATGAAACATTCGATTCTAGCAGAAGTTTGACCTCGTGAGTTGGAATCTTAGGAGTGAAATATGCAAATCCACATTTGTGAAACATCAGCATGTAGGTGATCACTGACGTAGCTGAACACTATGGAGGGGGTTCTAGAAAGACATTCCATATAAGTGACTGGCAGAGGAAAGGATGTTCAAGAGAAGCCAGAGATGCAGGAAGAAAGCTAAAAATACATAATGTTATAGAAGCCAAAGTGACTGGGGGTTTCCAGATGCAGGATAAGCCAGTCTAATTTAACAAATATTTGTCAGTGAACTCTGATGCTCGAAATTGGGTCTGTGGAGTCAAAGAGAGATTTTCTCCTGCCACGAAGAGATTTTTCAGACAGTTCTTGGCTGCTAGGAATCATTGCATTAGACCCATCAATCTGCACAGAGCCTAAGAGACAGATATGCAAACCACTTGAAGGTTTACGTAAGCAATGTAGCTTTGCTATTCAAAGCGTGGATTCTAACCAGGCTCCCTGGTTTGAATCCTGGCCTGGTGGGTTGAATTTTAGTTAGAAATATGATTCTGGTAAAGTTATTAACCTTTTTCTCTTTCTCAAGATCCTCCCTTGTGAAATAGTAGCACTTTTCTAGTAGGGTGAT